CATACACTGTCGATCGTGTTCCATTTTTCCATTATTCCGTTTTACATTTTATCGTTTATCGTTCATAACTTTTGTAACTTGCGATAAGTGGATGAGCGATAATTTTGAAAATTTAGCGATAAACGATAACGATAACCGATTTACTTAAAGGGACTATCCCACCTTTAACATGGGGTTTGAGTTGAGTTAGCCAAGTTTGCGGCGAGGTTCAGAAACCACTATCTATCTAGGTTGCAACCCCGCGGCCTCTTGGTGTTGAAGAAATTCGTTCCCTTCATTTGAAAATGGGCCTTGCGCAAGGCCCTATCTTCAACATGGAGCGACCGTTAGTGTGACGTCACCTCGTTTAGTCATTCTGATTTAAATGGGTTTGTTCGTTGAAAAGTCGCTTAAAACTTGGTCTGAACTTTGTTGTGGTGCCTACAGAGTAAAAAGAATCAGCTTTATGACAGTAATGTGGCCTGGGGAAGGAGGTAATTTTGGTCTGTGACGTCACATATTTGAAAGTTTGAGTTTGGATTATGGGAAGCCTAAGATGTTTAATGAAAAATAAATGCCAGAACCGTGTTCCTGGTCATCCAATCTATAAAGCCGGGCACAATTTAACTGGTTTTAACAACATTTTAGAAGGTGGGATAGTTCCTTTCAACAGCGATAATTATCGTTTATCGTTTATCGCTCATCCTATCGCATGCGGAAACCACTGTCGGTGACGGATACCGACAAAACAACATAATAACGAGTCGACAATGAAAAGAACAACGCGGCGGCGGGTCGACGTTTTCCCAGAAATCGGTATGCTCTTTGCATAGGTACTTTGCATGCAACATTTGATGCAAAAGTGAAAGCGTAGGAACATGAAAATGAGCAATTCAATCTGGCTTCGCAGAGGCAGTTTAATTGGTTTGATGCGGTTCTGTTTATCGACATTGTAGGTAGTGAATGTGCGCCACATTCATCTTCGCCTCCATTGGCAATGTCTATATTCTCGCTAAAAAAATGTGGGAATGATCAATGGTATTACCTATTTGGACGGTAAAACAGAATGTACCAAATAACGTTTATAAATCTTTGGCGGTGACCGTCTAAAAATAAATAGCTGCTGAAGAAGTGAATGGGATGCATCACATACCTATTTAATTCTGTAGCTGCCCCGATAGTCAAAAACTGAATAGAATCCCAAGCTCGAATGATAGAAAATGAAACACATTCAGGAACTATATTAACCCGCGCCCCACGGGGGGGGGGCTATTTACAGCCCCCCTCCCGTTTTTCTGCAATAACTTCCAAACCGCTTGACGTATCGACGCCAAACTTTCAGTACCTTCGGCTGCATCAATCTGACACCTTGTGTAAAAATGTGAGCTTCGTACCTACCATAGGTCGGCCGGAAATGACGTCAGAGTGACGTCATGTTCGGCCAATTTCGACGCAAAACATTGAACCACAGCAATCGCTCCCAAGAGCTCAATTTTTAAGCTAGATCCAATTTCTTTGCATGAGAGGACTCAGAATAGACTGCGCTATCAAACTGCTATCTCGAATTTTCGAAATTTTGAAAACTTCGAAAATTAAATAAAATAAGATTCAAAATTTATATTTTTACATTTTTTTTCAACAAGTTTTTATATTTACGAAAAAACCGGAATATATGTGATAGACCGCATTATTATGACTAACTCTAGCAGGTTTAAGATAAATATCTTTAAAAATGGCCAAGTTATATACGCATTATTGCAAAAAATTCACAATTATTAATTTTTAAATCAATTTTTTTCAGCACGTATTTGACATCGTAAGCCAATATAAATAGCACCATCGTGTTACTGAGCTCAAACTGCATCCAATAGACACCTTTTTTTTGTTGAAAAATATTGACTTCAAAATTTGACCTTTTTTGACCTGAAAGTGACCTGACCTAGGCTAAATATGACTCAAAATGACCTCGAATGACACAGACGACATCAAATTCGAAATTTTTGGGCTAAATGGACCATAAAACATGTGTCACATGACCGACGCATGATATAATATTTTCGTGACCTTTGATGACCTGACTTTGACCTTAAAATCAAAGCACAAGTTTAGTACCCTCAGGGTATCTAGAGCATCTGTTCACGAGTGTGTGAACCAAAAATGAGCCTGATCTGACTTGTAAGACGGCGGCCAGAGCCCAAAACGTGAACAAGCCAAAATGCTAATAATTTTTACTTTGACCTGACCTGTGACGTCATCGGTGACCTCGAGGTAAATGAAATTAGGTTTCGCTCGACAGTTTTTCCGGGGCTATCAGACGCCGTTTGAATTTTGACGATCGGCCCAGTAGTTTCGGAGGTAGGAGGGGGGGGGCTATTCATAGCCCCCCCCCCACCCCCAGTAGGGCGTGTTATACGCAGACCCCAGAGGGGCGCGGGTTAACTTATTTTATTCATAGATCAGGAGGGTACCAATGTATGTACCAACCACGAAAATAAATTTAAAAAATCGCAAATGCTATTCACAAGAGAGCTGCGGATGTATATGCTCCAGCAACAGACCGATGCCGGCTAGTGACGATCCGCTTGCGGGGACGTGTGATTGGGTGTGCGTTTGTGAGCACCCAATCACACGTCCCCGCGATGTGAATTCGCACAATGAATTCGTGTGCGATGTGTGTGACCAACTATCCTTATTTTTTAATTGTGACCCTGACCCTAGAATAGCCACGCTTGTGTGGAATGGGTTTTTGACGTGAAATAATAAATAAACGGTGCCAGCGCATTGCCAGCTTTATTAAAACAGCCTATATAAACGGTGCTGGCCTATGCATACTCCTAACTGGCTTTAACTATCCTGAGTGAGGTCGGATGACTGGGTATGGTCGCCCATTGCCGTCTACCTACTCACCAGGCTGAGGTGCATGGTAGGGAGATCCAGACGCAGGGCGCACGTGCAGTACCGATGACGTCACACCTTGTCTACCGTCTGCCCTCTCCTGGTCGGTGCGTCCGCCGCGCCGGTCGTTTGCAGTCTGGCGGCCCGCCTCGCCGAGCCGGACTATACCCCTCGAGCCGAGCCGTGAACACCTCCCCCGGTCCTCACGGCATGCTCCGCCCGGCAGGGGGCGCGACATCGTCGGAGCAGGACGGTGGTGAATCATGCGGTCAGGAGAGCATTTGCTAAGGTGATGCAAGGTCACCTAGGGTCACTAAACCCTATTGATGCAGGAGTCAAATTGAGAATGACAAGAACAAATAGTCAGACACGGAATAAGGTAGGGACATTTCGCTTGAAACTGCAGGTTGTACTAGCGATGATCATGAGACTCCCAAACCTTTGAAACGCTCCAGTGCACGAATGCTTTTCATATCATAGCCCAAATAATACCATCGCAAACACTATTTCATCGTACCAATATGCGAGCATGGCTTTGCCCAATCTTCGTCTTATGGGATGAAATCCAGCCGACGTGCGACCAGTCCAAACCAGTCGGTGAAACGGTGGGCCCATGTCGGCACGATGTCGATAACTCGACACGAAAATGTATGGATCGATCCGGCAGCCCGGCAGGCCAAAACAGCGAGGCCACTGTTATTTTATATGCATAAAGCTGGCATTACAATCCCGAGCTCACGCTGGCAAAGGATCGGCATGCGCCGACGACGGCCCGACGGCCCGCTAACAATCCCGAGCCCCGAGGTGTTACCGAGTACCGACGGACGACCGCCGAATAACCATGGTTGCTATATAAACCCGATCCCAGGCGAGACGATCCACCCGAGATCATCTTCCGCGCTCTGCCGACAGTCGCGGTAGCATGCGACCTGCGTCCTGCAGCGTTCGCCATGCCATGCCGATGTCCATTCCGCCGTCTACGTCATCACCGACAGCGAACTCGTTGTCGTGGGTATCGATATTGGGCCGCTGTATTTCGATGCCAGTCGGCACATGCCGCTCACACGTCGGTTTATATCGGTGGACGGTGTAAGTTCGATGTAAAGCCGGGGACGGTAGGTAGTTGGTAGTCGGGGGGGGGGGGGGGGGCGGAAGTCGGGGACGGTCGACTGCGGACTGGGTCGATTGGGTGTCGGCTTTCGGCCCAACTGGCTGCTGCTGATCTTCCGTATACCTACCATGTTGGCTGCTTCGGCCGACATGTCCTGTTTGGTGCAACATTGCGCATCTGGTACTTACTATACCTACCTAAAAACGGCCCAACTGAGCCCGAGGGCCGACACGACAGCGGGCTCATGGGGAACGAAATCCTTGCTGACGTCGGCTCGCTGTCGGGCCGACTTCGTAATGTCCTTTAGGACTGTGCTCCGACTAACACTGGGAGGGGCGGGGGGGGAGGGGGCTCACGAAGCTGTATAAAACACGTAGAAGATTCGCCCGAGGGCCGAGACACATGTGTAATCCAATGGGTCCTTTGCATCATACTTTACATCATACTTGACGTTTCTTATAGGTATCTTGGGTCCTATGTCAAACTGAGCAGAGACGGGACTCTTGCATCGGAGAAAGGAGGGGAAAACCCGGGAAAATAGGTACGTACTTACACTGTGTGGGAAAACAGTCGCGGGAGCTCAGACTTCGGATTCTCCCCAGTCCCCGCGCCCGCCTCAATAACTTTGTTGTGGAAGTCATCTGCATATGGTCGCTAGGTATATGTGTATGTGATCAACCTCCCTACCCCCTAATCCTAAAACCGTTGAGAGGCTCCTGAGTCTGAGCCGGCATTGGCAAGCGAAAGACGAATGAAGTTCGTACCATGGATAGCATGGTTCTCCTTCATTCATGTTCGTAGGCGTAGCATCAAAATCAAATCAAATGAATAGTTTTCTTTCATTCTTCAAATATGGTAGCACGCCAAATGAAAGCAATAGCTGCGCTGCTGTTCCAAATATGAATACCATTGAATGTGTTCTATGAGCAGCTGCGGCTTAAAATGTTGCAAGCGCTGCTTCGTACCGGCCCCTGATTTGCGATCGTGAGCCAGCATGAGATGAAGAGTTTTGAATGGACTTGCAGCATAAATATTTCCAACGCCTGTCACTGTGAATTTCAATTTATTTCAATTTGTGCCATGGTGATAGGCGGCTGTATTTATTTATTTGCGATAGTACATTAGTTAGTGAGCTGGAGTCCCTGCTGCTGAGTTCTGATAGCAGGTGCGAGAATATATATCTAGTTTTCTGTTCTTGTAATTCATTTTTATTCCTTTCGTTATCATATGTAAAATAACAGGACAGTGCAACAAGTGTCCTGATAATATCCAATGTTGTTCTGTTTCTTCAATGTGAATGAGGCATCTGAAATTGAATGTCTTGAAAGGTCTTGAAAGGTAGAACTTCTCAAAAGTCACATGACTGAATATGCCCTCCGCCCTCTTGCGCCCTGTTTTCACCCTGTTTTGTTTTCGGACGACAGTGAAAACAGGGCGCCTGGGGCGATCAAATCAAGGCTCGTGAAATTCACATGTGACATTTAGCATGTAGAAGGCCCACAGGGGGAGAGGTTCCGAATGTCACGTGACCCCATATGCCCTCCGGCGCCCTGTTTTCACCGCCATCACCGGCGTCCCACATGTGGTTGGTGTAACTTGTAAATGTTTTGTGTAAAAAGTTTTAATTATTGATGTGTGGTCTCATTTTTAAACCTAGGAATGACCTGTTTTTCTTTTCATGATTTTGTTTTGTGACTTTCTTTAGTAAAAGGAGGAAATCACTGATCTTTATCTTGATCTGGGGACCAAACAAGGAAACATGAATAGACTTGAACTTTGACTGACAAGTTCACCTATGGCTTGGGTTTCTCTCATCATTCATTTAACAAACACAAAAAAAAACAAAAAAAAAAACATTGCAAATGTATGACCATCTAAAATTGTTTTTTTTTCTCTTAAATTGCCATAAAGTTCCAAACATTTTCTGCCTACTAATCTGACCTGTGCTTCAAAAGATTTTACTATGGATGAGTCAGAGCTATTATCATCAGTGTGGAATCACTTCATCAGTGTTTGTGTGAATTTTGTATGGTGTGGTGTGGAGTGTGGCCTCAGGCCTGTGAATTCCCAGTTAGTGTGTGGGGTAGATCACTCAAAGCATACCTAGTAAGAGGACTGTAGCATGGATGCTATTTCATTATAGTGCTGATAGGCCTCCTCTTAAGTCTGACATCATCTGACATCTACCCCTTTATAACATAATCAAGCATTTCTATGGCGAGTTATGTGTATTCACAAGAAAAACTTGAGATTATTATTAACAATTTTCATATCTTGGCTGTTAATATCTCTCTCTCTCTCTCTCTCTCTCTCTCTCTCTCTCTCTCTCTCTCTCTCTCTCTCTCTCTCTCTCTCTCTCTCTCTCTCTCTCTCTCTCTCTCTCTCTCTCTCTCTCTCTCTCTCTCTCTCTCTCTCCCCCTCCCTCCCTCCTTCCCTCCCTCCCTCCCTCTCTCTCTCTCTCTCTCTCTCTCTCTCTCTCTCTCTCTCTCTCTCTCTCTCTCTCTCTCTCTCTCTCTCTCTCCCTCCCTCCCCATATTCTCTATAAAAGGTTTCTGCAATTTGTATGTTCCATCCTAACCCAACATGCAGTTTCAAGCTTAAGTTTTATGAATGTGTGATTCCACCAAATGTCCCATACGATGGTAATTATGACTGTGTAATTAGAACTGCCTACTGATTACTGGCTATTTCAGGTGTGTGTATCTTGAACTTTGAGACATGGGCAACTCTCCTTTTCCAACTAAGCTAAAGGACTTTGGATATGAATTCAAAGGTGAGGGCTGTCTGTTGGTTGTTGCATGTATGTTGTTCCTGTTTCTGTTATTTCCTCTTCTAATGAAGAAGCAAGCACAATCATTGCAAATGATATAAATGTTGCTTGTTATGATATGCTGATCTGTAAAATTACTGGGTAGTCGGTAGTGTTTAAGGTATCAGCTGACATCATGTGAGAGGGAAGGCTGTTCCAGCTGTTGAAGCTCCAAATTGAAATATGAATATGAAGAGTATGTGTCTTGTTTGTGAACTGGCACTTGGTTTGCTCACCTTGCACTCATGACCTCTTGTTCAATTGTTAGTTGATAGTTGCAGGCTGATAACTATGCATAAGTGCGCCTTCACAAATTAATGCAGCCTTTGGATCATGTCTCCTTTGAGATGTCAGAATAGGGGTGACACTGGTAGCTTCAGGTCTTGAGACCATTGATTGTAAAGTTTCATCCAGATCTCTGTGTTCAGATATGTAAGTAGCTTTTCACTCTGCATTATGCAGAAGGTGTGTAATTCCTTATTGACCTTACATTTTACAAGTGTTTTTGAGTGTATCCATTCCATTGGCAATTTTCTTTTTTATACAGGCTCAGTCATGGGCCGCAAGTCAGACGGTCTCTGGCCTGAGTTTTTCCGCCGTTGTCCGAGTTAAATATGACCATTGACTACTTTGCACAACAATGAATGATAACTTTTCAGATGGCAGTCTGAAGGACATCAAGACGGGCGGTGGATTTGAGTTCAACGTCTCAAAGGACGCGGAGTACAACCAGGCGCGGTACGAGGCGCTAGGAGAGGTAGGTAATTATCGCACATCGACAAACATCGTACAGCTGTGCTATTTGAAAATCTATCCACAGAAATTATTGGGCTTTTATTGTAAAAAGTGGTCCAAAATGTTGGAATGATTGGTTTACCTATTTATAGTCACCGTGGGTTTACCGTTTAGGGCATGAGTGACCTCTTCCGTTGATACAATCTTTTCGTGCGCAAATGACGACTTTTTTACTATGTCACAGCCTGCTACAATTGGATGGTGAATAGCTTCTGTCACTGAATGAGAGATATTATAAAAGAGTATCCCCGGCGTCGGGTTCTCTGTCACCCGAAGAACACTTATTGTGGTAACAAATACGAGAATGGACACCCCATCAATATATGACGGTTGAGGCCCGGATGTTATCTGTATCGTCCTATGTGTCTCAGAGAAGTGATCGCAGACTAGGAGCTCTGTCGCTCACGAAGGCAAACCTATGTGACACCCCCAGCACCCTGTATGTGACTCAGGTGATCACCGAGGAGGTGTACGCGCTGCTGGAGTCTGAAGCGGCCCTGTGTGACACCCAGCACCCCTGTATGCTACTCAGGTGATCAACGAGGAGGTGTACGCGCTGCTGGAGTCGGAGGCCGGCCCTGTGTGACACCCAGCACCCCGTGTGTGACTCAGGTGATCACCGAGGAGGTGTACGCGCTGCTGGAGTCGGAGGCCGGCCTGCAGCGGCTGCCGGTGCCCGCCAATGCCGCCGACGGCGAGCCCACGACCTTTGTGTTCGCCAGCGCCAACTACCGGACGGCCGACAAACTACTACTTCTGGTGCACGGCTCGGGGGTGGTGCGCGCCGGACAGTGGGCTCGCCGGTAAGGGGGGGACCGGGAGGAGTCTACTCCCCCGCGGGAGGGATCTACTTTCGTCGGTCAGTGGGCCCGCCGGCAAGGCGGGACTGGGTTCTGTGAAGGGACTTTCTCCCTTTGGGAGATGCGTCGGCTTTCTACATGTGAATTTCCCATTTTGCAAGAAAGAACGCTTGCACAGGGCTCAGGAATTTTACATCTATAGCGGCGTATTAGTTTCTGCACGCTTCTCGTAGAGCTGTCAATCTTCAACTACTCAGCTAGTGGCGCTCCTTCTGTGCCCGTTCACAGGCTGATTATCAACAACGGCGTGAAGGAGGGCACCCAGCTGCCGTACATTGAGCGCGCGCTCTCCGCAGGGTACGGGGTGCTGGTGCTCAACACTAACGATAATCGGCGAGTCACCGGCGAGCGGAAACAGTTCATACGGGTAAGACGGGCAACATCGGGAGGAAATGCTTAATGAAACTAACTGCTAGACTGTGTTAGATGCCAGAACAGGGGGGGGGGGACCTTGCCGCCATCTACCTACAATTCGTAAGCCCTCGAGTAAAATTATCACCGGTGAACCGGACACACAATGTGCGGTGGTGGGTCCGTGGTGCCATTCGCAACAAATATCGCTTAGTCAAGTTTAGTTCAGCATAGCTACTGTTTCCTGTTTTAGATCGCCAAGTCTGCGTGTGCCACGAATAATGCACGAGTGGGTCGTCATTCTAATGCCCAGATTTCCCATTATCACAGTCATGGAAACTGTCTACCACTGTCTGTTGGCTGCGTCAGTTGTCCATCGCTGCGTTTGTCCTCTGACTGAGCGAATGGTTCGTCTTCACAGGACAGCGGGACCCCAGAGCAACACGCTCTCACCGTGTGGGACACCTACGTCAGGGGCGCGGCCGCCACCGATGTGGCCATCGTGGCACACAGCTACGGCGGCGTGGTCACTCTGAACCTGGTGAGGAGCAGGGGTTCTCCGTCAGGGAGCGTGGTGATGAGAGGGAGAGGTCAAATATGCTCGTCGATACCCTGACAGGTTACCCTGACATCTTAAATTTGCGGTTACTAGAGTCGAGCAGGACAACTTTTCTCGATTGTTGTTTTGTAACTTGTCAAACATTGCTGTTGTCTTCGCCGATATGGAAAAGTCGAACCGTTACATCGCACGACACTAGTCCAACGCTTGGTCGAAGCTGTTTTATAAAGCTTAGACGTTGTTCTTGTCCCCTATGGCTGTTTCTTATGTACAGTTATGAAGAGGCCAGGAATCTTGACCTGACCTGACCCTGACCTGAGCTGACCTCAGCTGACCTGTCTGGCAGGCGGTGCGCCGCTGGGAGGAGGTGCAGAAGCGAGTGTCGGCCGTGGCCCTCACTGACTCCGTGCACAGTATGGGAGGCGCTCGCTGCGGCCCAGAGGTGCAGAAATGGCTGGCAGAGGTGAGTGTCCCTGCGGCTCCTGGCTGGTAGTGAGCCTAGTGGCCATTGTCCGGTCTCTACGGCTCCTGACCGGCAGTGCCTTCCCCCTCCCACTCTCCACGGCCCTTGGCTGGAAGCATGCCTCCCCTTCGCCCTGTCCCTGTGACATCTGGCTGGCAATGTCTGATTCTTTCGGCCCCCTCGTGGCAATGGTGATGCGATTTACTCAGTCGCCTCTCCGACGTGCGGTGCTCGCCGACATTGGATATAATTATGCCGCACTGGAGACACAACGGGCTCAGCTCAGGCAACGTGAAGGCACTGCGGAGCTACTGCCTACACGAACTGTATCCAATAGCTCTCACTGTACCTGTCGGAGCCGGTCCCCTGCACGGCAGGTGGTCTCTACTTCTAGACCCGAACACGTCACGGCGGCACGGTGCTGTGTTAGCTCCTGGCACGTGACGACTCTGGGTATCAGCCGAGGGAGACCCACCACCCTGACGCACACACACCTGGTCCTCACCAGGCTCGATCTAATCGGACAAAAAACATCTGCCTTCTGGCGGAATGACTAACGCTGCCGGCTGGGACTCTGGTGTATTTGTTGATCTCTACACCGATCTCGTGAGGTTTTCAGCCGCAAACTACTAAGATCGCTGCGAAACGTGATGGTTTGATTGGCCAACCCCAAAGGCAAAGTTAGATACTGGCCACAATCATTTTAATGCACCTGGTCTACAACGAATGGATGATGTGTGAAATCCTTTAAATGATTAGCGTATTTGCTTTTCGCAGCACCATGATATTTCAAAAACGTTGTCTTAGCACACCTTTCAACGTAGTGACAAAGCAACACCTGCTACTATAAAATATAACGGTTGCCTTAGCATCATAATAGATAAATATTTTATCAGAAATGTATTTGCCTAATGGCTTTGGTAATCATGGGAGCCGAGAAACGTACACTCTTTGAATAAATCGATTTTAAGGCGCTGGATTTCAATGTTGCACTAGATATCTACTTTTTTTGTGTTGAGCGCATTTTAACTTGCTTTCTTCTTTAACTCCGACGCGACAATACATTTTATTGTGGAGAGTGTTTAAATTGTCAAATACAAATACAAACTTGATACCTTCCGATTATTTCGTTCTCCATATTCTACAATAACCCATAAGATTATTTATCGTTTCTGCATTCATGTCAAAGACAGGTCGAAGGCATCGCCAGCATGTTTCGTTTCAAACACGTGTTCGGACGCTTGGGCTACTCAGCTGCTCTCTGTCCCTCTTTGAGCCTGTGTCACCCAGTTCTTGTCTTGCTCTGTCTCCTCCGACCCCAGCTTCAGCGTCTTGTGTCCAGCGAGCTGATCACAGAGCGACTGTGGGTACCCATAGCTGGCGCCACTGGCGCCGAGGGTTGCCGATCGCTACAGAGCACGGGTGTTTATCGACACTTGTGGCAATGCACGATTAACGGATATATTGAATGAAAATGCAAGAAATATTCGTTATGCTTTTCGTGTGCTTTTGTTAATCTCATAAGTAGATAGACTTTTCACTTGACTGGGCATCTTGAAGAAGGATGCTCCTCTACATTTCGGTAGGTATAGTACTACGCTTGTGCTTGAAGAAACTGTTAGTATATTCTCGCTTTTCCTATGCTCTTATGCTTACAATCTCAGAGTAGGAATCTCATTTGGCAAGGCAGGATTTTGCTAATGTACGGTTCGAGCCACAGAAAATATTGCAATTGCTTTCTAATTTAAATTTGTGAGTTATCTTCGACTTAAATTTGTAAATGTATCCTGAATCCCTAGTGCTGCAGAAGGCCCTAAAATGTGCTATTTTCAGGTTAGCCTAGTGGGGGAAAGCCGTGTGACGGCATATCATTGACGGAGCTCTAAAAAGTACTAATTATTTTTTTTTTGTCGTATCATCAGAAATGCTTCTCAAATTCGTCATCGCCATCAATTTATGAATATCAAAATAATAGTTATTACTTATTTTATCTTAGTTCACCTCTGATGACCTAGCATTGGATGGTCTGTTACAAATAACTTGTACTTTCACCGTTACTTTACGTATTTTGCAAACATGTCTTCTCGCTTATTCTCACTTTACCCAGGAGCCGCTTTAGAGGGTACCTACGTTCCTTCCGATTGGTGTTTCTTGCAGCACTTGCATCGCTTCGATATTGATGAAAAGGTATGCATAGAACCTAGAAGTTAATTGCAATACAATTACTCATTATATCACTCACAGCGCATAATTATAGACCTACCTACTATAAATGCTAAATGGGCTAAAATAGTATATAACACGCCAAAATAGTGTCTAATAAAACGGCTGGATTGCAGCAGTTGTGGCACATTGCGTCACTTCCCGTTTTGCACCAAACAGGTTTGAATTTGAACCTCGGCGGGACAGCGGCCTTCTCAAGGCCATTGAGACGAAACGCGTCCTAAGCTCACTTGCGAGGACATCACTCGCCATCTACATACCTATGTGAAATCCAAATTTGCTGGTTAGTAAAACAAAGACTGCTTGTCAAAAATATTATTTCTTGTTTAGAAAACATTGCGTGCACAGCGCAACCTTAACCCGCGCTCTGGTGGGGTCTGTTTATAACGCGACCTGGTGGGGGGGGGGGGGCTATTTTTTGCCCCCCCCCCTCATATCTCCGAAACTACTGGACGGATCCGCAAAATTCAAACGGCGTTCGAAAGGCCTGTCAAATTTGTTGAGGGAAACCAAATTTCATTGACCTCGGGGTCACCGATGACGTCACAGGTCAGGTCAAAGATGACATGTTTCACCGTTCACGGGTCTTCTAGGGAATGCGCTATAACACCGAGGAAAACGTATTTTGTCGAGAATCAGCGGTAGGGCGTCAGTTGCCTAGTAGATATGTTGCTATTAGAGGTCACTGGCAATACCAGGTCAGGTCACAGGTCAGGTCACCAAGGGTCACAGGTCAGGTCACATGAGCCCAACTTTACTAAGGTTGTGTGATACATGTTTTATGGCCAATTTTTCATTTCCAACTCAATGGTGTTGGTTATAAGACTATCAGGTACGGCTTAGGTCACTTTCTGGTGAAGTTCAGGTCAAGGTCAGGTCAAGGTCAGGCCAAAAAAGGTCAAATTTTTAAGTTGATAGTTTTGCATAAAATGGGTGTTGATTCGATGCAGCTCGTCACGGGGAGTCTAATGGTGGTCTTTGTTTTGCGCTACGGGGTCTAGAATTGCTAAAAAATTGAGTTTGAAAATTTGACGTCATCAATTTTGAACAGTTTTTTCGCTATAACTTCGCCAAAAAAAGAGGTATCAATCTCAAATTTGGTATGTGGATGGAAGGCGGTAAGGACTATCACATATATTCCGGTTTTTGCGAAATTCAAAAAACTTTTTGGATTTTTCGATTATTATACCCAAAAAATCTATTTTTTGATTTTTGGGGGTCAAAATCCAAAAATTTCAAAAAACCGAGATAGCAGTTTTGTAGCCCTGTCCAATCTACAGCTTTTATGTCTTGATCATTTTTCTGTATTTGCAAAGCTATAGGCCTGACAGCTCTTCCTGCGAAACCCTTTTTTGGGTCGAAAACGGCAGAACATGACGTCACTCTGACGTCATTTCCGGCCAACCTATCATAGCCTATGGAAAAATTTTTGGTCACAATGTGTAAAATTGATGTCCGGGAGGGTACTGAAAGTTTGGTGACGATCGGCGCAGCAGTTCTGGAGATATATCGAAAAGTCTGGAGGGGGGGGGGGGCAAAAAATAGCCCCGCCCACCAGGTCGCGGGTTAAGTGATAGCCTTGTCTCTCATGTCACCAAAGGTCAACTGATTATACTTTCGGCGATTGAATGTAGTGTTGCTCTCATTGGTTTTTGATGCCAGTGAGCCATAACCAGTTGCAACTCCAATATTAGCAATTTAGATTCACTCAAGCTGTCATTGTTTGCGGTCGAAATAATTGCAAGCTGTCTAAGGTGATTGGTGACTGATGTGATTCGGAAATAGCTCGATTGCACCTCGTCCCCCCGGTATGCAGCCAACGTGCCGATGTGTGGCTTCTGGTGACGGCGATATTAGTCTCCCTGGCTTCCCTGCGGGCCGGGCCAAGTACCCTGCCCATCATTGTCTAAAGAGTCGCTCTGGGACGGCCGGAGGGCCCTCGTGGGCTTCACTGCCGACCTCGTCTACCGCACGAGTGGGGAAACTCACCATTCAGACTCCACAGAGTGGTTGAGAGGAGCGCAATCAGATTGACAGGCTGTTGGCGCAAGTCCTGAACAGCGCGTCGCTATATCGGTGTGGATGATCACTGAAATAGGTTGGTTTGGATTTAGGAGTTCTGGTGAATGTCAGAATGTGTGCTGATAGTTTGTTACTTCTTGCTTGTTGAACATGGGCTGCGAAGGGCTCCGTGCGTAACTCTGGGACCAGTAATCAGTTTGCGTGCACTGTCAGCACCTGTCTAATCTCTGTCGGCATCTGACCGACCTGTGGCGTCACATGACGACCCATGTCACTACCTGATTGATCTCTGTCGGAATCTTACCGACATCTGACAGACCTCTGCTCTGACCGACCTATGTCGGCATCTCACCGACCCCTGCGAGCAGCACAGGTGGTGAAACGTGCATCCGACGGCCGGACAGGGCAGGTGGCCACAGTGGCCCTTTGAACAGGTGGCCACAGCCGCTATGTGTGTTCTTTGGCCTGGACAGTGCTCAGGGCAGGTGGTCGCTGCCGCTCTGTGTGTGTTCTATGCCCTGGACAGGTGTATCGGCGGGTGACAAGATCGCCCTCCAGTTACGTCGCCACCCCATTCGTTCCTCCCAAAACCACCTGTCTTGTGGACATTGCGCTGCACCAGACCGCCGAAAAGAGACGTCACTGTTGGCGGGCGTTGTAATCAATGCAAACAGTGCCGTGCAGCCTCACGCACCCGACCCGCACCCTAGTGAATGTCATGTGCCGAACGGTGGCGAAAGGCACCTGACTCGGGG